TCCAGCAAATAATTTTCCTTTGGGATTAATAAAGTATTTTTGAATTTGAACTGAATTTGAATTGAATTTGTTAGTCTCATTGAGTCACGAGGACTCATGTACAAGTGAGACTTGATTTAAACAGACAACATATAAAGTACAGACAATAATAAACTACAATAAAATACAATTAAAATAAAAGCAGTGTTATAAAACCATAAATCAAAATGTCATATAAATCAAGGTAAAATTAAACATTAAACAGAAGAAGAAAAAAATATTTGCGACCATCAGAGTTTTATGCTGCTCACAGTTCAATAACTGATCCCCCCCCCCCCCACCCCACCACCCCCACCCCACCCCACACACACACAGTGGCTCTGAGAAACTTACTTTTTGGTCTATATTTGATCTGCTTCTCAATTTAGCAGTCAGGGAGTGAGAAACACAGATCCGTGGTTACCATGGTGACTCTAATCAGCCACTGGTCACAGATTTGACACTTCTTTCTTTTTCTTTCTATCTTAGTTCTCTTTAATCTTCTCATACATCATAATTAAATTATCTTTGTCTTATAACATTAGTAGTTACTTTGGCACCTTTCAGTTTTTTAAATAAATTGTCTTGTTAAACAATAAAATGAGATCTGTGCTTTTTATTTTATTCAAAATTTTACCTGTAGTCTGTTCCTTTCACTGGTGCAAAGGTGTACGTCCTCTGACCTTGGTCGATGTAGCGCTTCAAGAACAGTATTGTTAGTTTAAACACAGATCTCTAAACATCACCACAAACTGTACAAATGAGTTTACCTCATCTTGAGATTTCACCAGTGTGGGTATCATGTAACTCCCTGTTTGACCATCAATCATTTCTCTTCTTATCTGTTGAATTAACACCAACAAGTAAACAAACACATGAATCACCCTTTCGATGTTTGGTTTGAGCTCATGCAATGACATTAGATCAAGCGAAAAACGCTTCAAACCTCCACTTTGATGTCATTCTCAAGCTCCGCATCCAAAAAGTCGAGCGTTACAGGTTCATCAAACTTGGCCGTCTGTAAGAATGCACATCATTATTCAGTATGACATTGCTATGAATCATTATGTCTGGGCAACGAGTACAAAGGAGAAATGACCAGTAAACAACACGTATTGATCTTTTTTATTTTTTTTGTTCGTTTCCAAAGTTTTGCTTTGTAGTCCTAAAGAGGAAACTAATTATGAGCCAACGCCGGCTCATCTGCAACCAATCCACCTGATATGTAATTCACCAGAAAAGCAGATGTCTTTAAGGTCAGGGAGAAACATTTTGCCAAGCAAACAAACATCATCCTGCAAGCAGATGACTGAGCCGGTTTTCTAAAAAACAAAAAATAAGGAAAAAATATCAGCCAAATGACACAAATACTGAAAACATACAACATGACATGAGTAGAGGAGTGGCCACAGTGAAGGAAACTGTTGACCAGAGACTAACGTCATCAGACTACAGCAAAGCAACAGGAGCCAAATGTCCAAGTCTGTCTGTTTTCACCTGGAGGAGTATTTAGTTATTTAGAATGTCTTGTTTATCTCACCAAATGACTGTTTTACTGATGTCATCAAGGAGCACATAATGTTAGGATCTTCCCCGATTCATTTTCCTAAGAAAAACTCAGCATTGTTTTTTTATCCTTGGTAAAACTGGTCTTCATGATCCTCTAGCTTCTTGCGATGGCCCCTTGTTAGAAATGAGGAGTGATTACTGATTTTAAAACTAGTTTCTTCTATCTTTTTAAGCCCCATCTTCCTTGAAGTGAATTTGAATGTGTTGTCCATTTATTTATAACACCTTAATTAAAAACCTACAACACTTACTTAATTACTAATCCTACATTTCTCACCTGGCAACACTGCACGGTCACAATATACGGTGGTCACAGAATATGGTGCAACACCTGCAGTGTTTCTGTGCGTCTCCTCCTGTCTCGGCATAAAACGCGCACAGGTGGAGGAAATGGAGGCAACTCTATGTTGCTCGCTCGCCAGTTTAGTATGCTTAGTGTGATCAGCTGTTGACCGGGGGGGTTGATCATAAACGTATTTATGTTAGGA